AAAAATGAATTTTGATGTGTTTTATATGATCACTACAATGTGTTTTTCCTCCATTCTTTCTTGAATTTTTTGAACTAGATTTAGTCTTCATATAGTGCTTGAAGTCCCTTGAAAGTCACGTCTAATGGTATGAAACGGGTCGAGCGGCTCGACCACTCGGCTCGTGGGTGGCTCAGGCTTGTCAAATGACTAGCCCGAGCACGAATCGAGCGGGTCGGCTCACCGAGTCTGGCTCTTGGGCTCGTAGCTCGCATGAACAATGACAAAAAAGTGATCTTTGTGGTCATTGTTGAAAGTTCAATTAAACAATTTCAGTGATCGCTTGTCACTAAATTATGAAAAGTGGTCGTTTACCACTTTCTTTTTTTCTTTCTTTTATTTTACTCTATAAATACTTCAACCCATTTTCAATTTTTTCACACAACTTTCCAACAACTCTCACTCTCTTCCACATTCTACAATCTACTATATTTTCATTTCGACCTTCAATTTCAATTATTCAATATCAATGATCACACTACAAGTTTACAATTACAATCTTACACAATAACTTTCTTTCAATTTTTGATTTGTTTCCATACTTTTTATTTACTTACTTAATTACTCACTATATATTTCATCACAATTCACAAATGGAAGCACACTCATTTGTTGAGGGCTTGTTCAGTATCGGAGGCGAATCACCTATGACACTACAAAGTTAATTTCAAAATGAATTTTTTGGTCTGAATGGAGTACTTATTCTCAAAAATATTCGACATTTGGATGCTCATGGATGTAATAATCCAATTAATTTGGATGACGTTGATGCACTCGAAGGGAAACAAGATGAGGAACAGAAATTAAATATTCCCGATGGAAGAGAGAAGTAAAAGAGGAAAAATAGGCAAAATATTGGGATCACTTTAAATTAATTCAAACGGGTCGTGTGGTCGATGAAGTTAAAGATTCTAAAGCAATATGTAAATATTGTCACAACGATTGGCATGGCAAAAAGGCATTGGTACCACCCACCTCAACCATCGCTACAAAGCATGTGCGGTCAAACACGGGTATCTTGCTGCCGATCAAACGCAACTGCAATCTGGTAGTCTAGGCTGGTTCTACTTTTTCGCCACTTTCCACGTAGATATATTTGGAGGAGAAAGCTCAAACAGGAATGATGAAGTGCGTTGTCGCTGCTGAGTTGCTTCTAGTAATAGCGAACAATCAATATTTCGTCTCATACGTGAAAGAATATTTTCAACCGAGGTACGTTATTGTAAGTCGAAATACTATTCTTTCAAATACAATAAAATATTTCCTTCATACAAAAAAACAATTGATTATTGATTTGCAAAAATATGAGGGTGTTATATCTTTAATTTCGGATATATGAGAAGAGATTAATCAAAGAGATTATATAGTTGCAACTGCACACTACATAAATCTACTTTGGTGTATGCATAAAAAAACTATTGCTTTTAGAATTATTAAGTTCCAACACAACGCTAACAATATATATAACGCTATTATGAATATTATTAGAGAATATCATTACGAAAGTAAATTTCATTCTTTTACATTCGACAACGCTAGTGTTAATAAGGTAGTTATCGATAAATTGTGTAAGGTACTGCAGCCTGATTTCGATGGTTATTTGTTTCATATTGGTTGTGTGTGCCATATTTTTTAATTTAATCATGCAGGATGGTTTGAAACATATTAATAATGAAATTCAAAGAATTAGGGATACACTAATATATATCATGATTTCACCTAATAGAAAACAAACTTATGAGAAATTTTGTATCGAATTCGGAATGACGAATACGAAAATATTTGTTAGTAACGTAGGCATATATAGTACTCCACTTACTTATTATTAAAATCATGCGAATGTTTTGAACATTTAATAACTGAATTTTATAACAATATGTATATTAGAAACGATAATGAAACTATTTTGAATGAATCTGATTAACTTTTAACTTCTAAAATTAAAAAAATTTTGACAAGTTTTTATGAATCTACAAATATTTTATTTAAAGTTTACTACCCACTAATTGTATGGTGCTTGAAGGTCTTTATATAATTGCAATGGATTTTCATAAATACAAAAATGACCCTGATTTTAGTGCAATTATATATTCTAGGAATTAAAGTTTAAAAAATATTGGGAAGATTTGACTATGTTATATCCTTTAACATGTATTATGGACCTCCGATAAAATTTATCAAGTACTAAATATCTAATTGATCAAATATCAAGAGCTTTAACTTTTAATACATCTATCACTTATAGAAATTTAAAACAAATTTTATGTGAAATGTATGAATTATATGCAGAACGAATTGATGCAAATATTAATCGGGTACCCTCTGCACCTACTCCTCCCATTAATATTGAAGAGAACGACGCTGAAATAATAACTTTTTTCGAAGGTATTAACACATATTATTGGAAAATTCAAAATTGGTCGTGACAAATTTAAGTGATTGTTCAAGTGGA